TCTCTCTCTCTCTCTCTCTCTCATCTCTCTCTCTATCTCTCTCTCTCTATCTCTCCTCCTCTATCTCTCTCTCTATCTCTCTCTCTCTATCTCTCTCTCTCTCTCTCTCTCTCTCTCTCTCTCTCTCTCTCTATCTCTCTCTCTCTATCTCTCTCTCTCTATCTCTCTCTCTCTATCTCACTCCTCTCTATCTCTCTCTCTCTCATTCTCTCTCTACTCTCACTATCTCTCTCTACTCTATCTCTCCTCTCTCTCTCTATCTCTCACTCTCATCTCTCTCTCTCTATCTCTCTATCTCTCTCTCTCTATCTACCTCTCACGTCTAATCTCTCTCTCTCTTCTCTATCTCTCTCTATCTCTCTCATCTCTATCTCTCTCTCTCTATCTCTCTCTCTCTCTCTCATCTATCTCTCTCTCTCTATCTCTATCTCTCTCGTTTCCATCTCTCATCTCTCTCTCTCTATCTCTCTCATCTCTATCTCTCTCTCTCTCTCTCTATATCTCTCTCTCTCTATCCTCTCATTCTCTATCTCTCTCTCTCTATCTCTCTCATCTCTATCTCTCTCTATCTCTCTCTCTCTATCTCTCTCTCTCTATCTCGTCTCTCTCTATTCTCTCTCTCTATCTCTCTATCTCTCTCTCTCTATCTCTCTCTCTGCATCTACCTCTCTCTTCTCCTCTCTCTCTCTCTCTCTCTATCCTCTCTCTCTCTATCTCTCTCTCTCTTATCTCCTCTCTCTATCTCCTCTCCCTCTCTATCTCTCTCTCTACTATCTCTGCTCTCTCTATCTCTCTCTCTCTATCTCTCTCTCTCTATCTCTCTCTCTCTATCCTCTCTCTCTCTCTCATCTCTATCTCTCTCTCTCTATCTTCTCTCTCTATTCTCTCTCTCTATCTCTCTCTCCTCTATCTCTCACTCTCTATCTCTCTCACGTCTATCTCTCTCTCTCTATCCTCCTCTCTCTATCGCTCTCTCTCTATCTCTCTCTCTCTATCTCTCTCCTCTCTCTCACCTATCTCTCTCTCTCTATCTCTCTCTCTCTATCTCTCTCTCTCTATTCTCCTCTCTGCTCTACCTCTATCTCTCTCTCTACATCTCTCATCCTCTAGTCTCTCTCTATACTCTCTCTCTCTATCTCTCTCTCTATCTCTCTCTCTCTATCGCTCTCTCTATCTCTCTCTCTCTATCTCTCTCTCTCTATCTCTCTCCTACTCTACTATACTCTCTCTCCGATATCTCTCTCTCTCTATCCTCTCTCTCTCTTACATCTCCTCTCTCTATCTCTCTCTCTCCTCTCTCTGATCTCTCTCATCTATCTCTCTATCTCGTTATCTCTCTCTCTCTATTCTCTCTATCTCTCTCTCTATCTCTCTCTCTCTATCTCTCTCTCTACTATCTCTCTCTATCTCTCTTCTAAAACTCTCTCTCTCTATCTCTCTCTCTCTATTCTCTCTTAGCTCTTCTCTATCTCTCTATCTAACTCTCTCTCTCTATGCTCCTCTCTCTATCTCTCCTCTCTCTATCTCTCTCTCTCTATTCTCTCTCTCTATCTCTCTCTCTCATATCCCTCTCTCATCTCTATCTCTCTCTCCTATCTCTCCTCTCTACTCTCTCTCTCTTCTCTCGTCTCTATCCTAATCTCTCTATATATCATATCTTTCAGCATCATACTCTCTCTCTCTATTCTCTCTCTCTCTCTACTCTATCTCTCTGATCTCTCCTCTCATCTCTCTCTCTATCTCCTACTCTCTCGATCTCTATCTCTCGTCTCCTATCTCTCTCTTCTATCTCTCTCTATCTCGACCTTTTTCTCTCTCTATATCTCTCTCTCTCTATCTCCTCTCTCTATCTCTCTCTATCTCTCTATCTCTCTCCTCTTACTATCTCTCTCTCTCTCTTCTCTGCTCTCTCTCTATCTTCTCTCTCCTACTCTCTCTCTCTCTAATCTCTCTCTATCTCTCTCTTTCTCTCTCTATCTCATCTCTCTCTCTCTATCTCTCTCTCTCTCTATCTCTCTCTCTCTCTATCTCTCTCCTCTCTCTCTTCTTCTCTCTCTCTCATCCCTCATCTCTCTCTATCTCTCTATCCTTCTCTATCTCTCTCTCTTCCTCTCTCTTCTCTCTCTATCTCTCTCTATCTCTCTCTCTCTCTATCTCTCTCTCTCTCTATCTCTCTCTCTTCTCTCTCTCCTCTCTCTATCTCTCTCTCTATCTCTCTCTCTCTATCTCTCTCCTCTCTCCTTCTCACTCCTCTCTCTCTCTCTCTCTCTCTATCCTCTCTATCTCCTCCTCATCTCTCTCTATCTCCTCTATCTCTCTCTTTCTCTCTCCTATATCTCTCCTCTCTCTCTTCTCTCTCTCTCGCTCTCTCTCATATCTACCTCTCTCTCTCCTATCTCCTCTCTCTCTCCCTCTCTCCTCTATCTCTCTCTCCTCTCTAATCTCTCCTCTCTCTCTCTATCAATTCTCTCTCTTCTCTAAACTCATCTCTTTCGTTCTTCTATCTCTCCTCTCTCTTTTTCTCGTTCTTGCTCTCATTCTCTCTCTTTCTCTCACTCTCTTTCTCTTTCTCTATCTCTCTCTCTCTCTTTCTCTCTCATCTCCTCTCTCTTCTCACTCTCTCTCAAATTCTCTCTCTTTCTCTCCTCTCCTCTCTCTCCTCTTCCTCTCTCTCCTCTTCTCTTCTCTCTATCTCTCCTCTCCTCTCTCATCTCCTCCTCCTCTCCTCTCCTACTCTTCTCTCTCTCTCTCTCTCTCATCCTTTCTCTCTCATCCGTCTCTCTCTCTCTCTCCTCTCCTCCTCTCCTCTCTCTCTCATCACTCTTCTCCCTCCTCCCATATCTCTCTCTCCTCTCCTCATCTCTCTCATATCTCTATCTCTCTCCCCACATACTCCCATCTCGATCCCATACACTACAAATCATTTTCCATTCCTCTTTCTTAAGTCATCTCTATCTCCTAACTCTCTACTCTCTCATCTCACTTCTCATCATCTCGATGTAAATTTCTAGTCTCTCATTTGTTCTTTCTTCTCTAGTCAACAAATGTGTTATGAGTACATAAGATATCATATTTTTTGTTTTGTGTTTGTAAGCATGTCATCAATATATTTGTTTGTAGTTAATAGAATAGGTCATCAAATGTCATCATTTGTCTTGTGTTTGTGATGTCATCTACGTCATTTTTCTGTCTTTGTTCTTTGTAAGATTCCATCAACGTCATCATTGTTTTTTTTAAATTCATCAACGTTCATCATTTTGTTTGTAGAGTCTCAAGTTTTTAGTGTACTAGAGGACATAGAATAGGCTATAGACTCCTTCCCTTTACCTCTGTCTTATGTCCTATGTCATTCTGTCTTCTCACTTCCTCTTATCCTCCTGGATCCCCCCACTCTCTCCACCTGCCACTTTCCCCTTTCCCCCCCCTCTCTCCTCCTCCCGTCTCATCCTCCTTCCTCCTACTCTCCAGGCTCAGCGGTGGTTATCCGGGATCCACAGGGGGGACAGAGGGCTGCCACAGCATGTACATAATTATAGGGAAAAAGGTGAGAAACAATTTTTTGGGGCTCCACCATCCAAACTACCCCCAACCCCACCCCAAAATTCCCCCAAAACCCCCAATTACCCCCCCCCCCACCACCCTACCACCCCTATAACCCACCCCTAAACCCTAACAACCCCAAACCTCAAAAAAATAAAAAAAAAAAAATTATATAAAAAAATAAAAAATATAAAAAAAAAAAAAAAAATATTATATAAAAAAAAAAATAAATTTATAAAATAAAGCTTTATTGAGGGGGTTCTAAACATCTTTAGCTCCCTCAAATGAAAATTTACCCAACACTTGCCACATAATACCTTTATAAATGTATATCCCTGCATATGTATATACCTTTTGTATACATTAAATTACCTCTATATATATATATATATATAATATATATATATATATATATATTATATAATATATATATATATATATATATATATATATATATATATATATTATATATATTTATATATATATATATATATATATATATATATATATATATATATATATATATATATATATATATATATATGCGTGTGTGTGTGTGTGTGTGTGTATACCTTGTATACATGTACCTTATATATATGCATATACCTTGCATATATGTATATACCTTGTATACACGTATGTACCTTATATACATGTATATACCTTGTATATATGTATATACCCTGCATATATGTATATACTTTGTATACATGTACATATATACTTTGTATACGTATATATGTGTATGCTATGCGGGTGAAGTATGAATTTGCCAGGAGTGTGATGCATCATGGGGTTGCAACCCATGCAGTTGCATGGGTTGCAACACGAGGCTCATAAAGGCTGCATATTACCTATTCACCACCAGTCAACAATACTTTAACTCTTAAAATATTGATTAATGTATACTACTAGTGTATACTGAGACATACACACCTCTCAGTGTATATATATAAATTATTATTATTATTAGTTTATTACGTATATGTAATTGCAAACTAAGCAGAGAGAGAGAGAGAGAGAGAGAGAGAGAGAGGAGAGAGAGAGAGAGAGAGAGAGAGAGAGAGAGAGAGAGAGAGAGAGAGAGAGAGAGAGAGAGAGAGAGCGAGAGAGAGAGAGAGATGAGAGATAGATGAGAGAGAGAGAGAGAGAGAGAGAGAGAGAGAGAGAGAGAGAGAGAGAGAGAGAGAGAGAGAGAGAGAGAGAGAGAGAGAGAGAGAGAGAGAGAGGAGAGAGAGAGAGAGAGGAGAGAGAGAGAGAGAGAGAGAGAGAGAGAGAGAGAGAGAGAGAGAGAGAGAGAGAGAGAGAGAGAGAGAGAGAGAGAGAGAGAGAGAGAGAGAGAGAGCGAGAGAGAGAGAGAGAGAGACGAGACGAGACAGAGACGAGAGAGGCGTAGAGAGAAAGAGAGAGAGAGCGAGAGAGAGCGAGAGAGAGAGAGAGAGAGAGAGAGTAGCACCCACCTCTAACATCGTCTGGCCTGGCGTCCGGATGGATGTGAGCCAGCTCTTGTCTTCCGGCCACAGTGAAGTAGATGGTGGTGACGCCCCTCTCCATCCGGGCATCCTCCCCTGCCTCCAGCTGGCTCACCTCACAGCTGGCTCCTCACACTCGCCTCCAGCTGGCTAACCTCACTTCACAGATGGCTCCTCTGACACGCCTCCAACTGGCTTCTCTCCCTTACAGGTGGCTCCTCACCTCACAGCGGGCTCCTCACACGCCACCTGCCGGCATGATTCTCACTCAGATGGTTCCTCACCTAGTAACTAGTACACCATAACCACAACCTACCACATG